TTGTTTTTTTTTTGTTTCATTTATTTGTCGTTCAATATGTTCTGGTGTTCCCAAATCAAAAATCTAGCATACACATCTGGTTAAAGTTAACTCTAAGAACGAAGTGAAATTAGGAAGAAACAAATTTCCAAAAGAAAATTGTGATTAAGATGCGAAATATTAATACATATTCATTACTTGCAGCAAATCTTGGTTTAAACTGATAGTCTTTCAAAAGTCATTGCGTCTTTCATCCTCGTTTGAATAAAATAAAATTAAGCCTAACGAAAGCTGCCTTAATTGAAATGTTAATTATTTTTAATGGTGATTTATGACGATCAGTTGTCTTATTAAAATGTTCGCTGCTTTTGGAGTATAAGAGAAGTTTTTGTATTGAAATCTCATAAACTATGGAATATTGGAGTTCCGTTATATATTAAGAGAAAGCGGTGCTTAGCTAAAAGCTTCGTTATAAAAACGACTTTTTGATTAACCTACATTTAAAATATTCATTAATTTATCAATCAATGTTAAATTAGTCTTAAAGGAATTCGAGAGATCCTCAAAATTTTGCCCTGAAACATATTGACGAAGGTTAAAGTCACGCAGGGTACTGGAAATTCTTCCAGACTCTCCACAACATTTTCCTAATATTAAAGTTTGACATCTCTAGGGGGGCCTAATTAAACAGACTTTTCTTTTCAGTGTAGACCCTTCTCTATCAAAAAGGAATTTACAGCTCTGACAATGTCCACTAAATATGTCCCAAAGTTGGTGTTTAATTGCAAACTTGGCCCTTTTCGGGTCGCTTAAATGAGAAATGTGAACAGTTGCGTTTTTGCAATTAGCTGCTGTTTGGTACAAATATCTTGCCCCTGATCGATTCATTAATTTACAGGTCTCCAAATCATCATTAATATTAAAAATAAATCTGTCATTTATATATAAACTCAGTCAAGGAAGTACCTTATCTTGTATGCTGCATAGAGCTAAATCTTAATGTCTGTGTAGATGCAGAAGAGGATAAATGAAAGATTCAGAGTGCAAAAGGCTCCAGCAACATTTAAAACGATGCTGTTGCTTACGGGATAACTTGAAAAGCAACAGAGTCAACCATTTTTTGCTCTTCCCTGGTACCCAATTTAACTCGATTTGTACGGGGGGCAAAACATTTCAACAAAAATCAGAAGACAAACCGTGCATCCTGCCCTTGCCCTTAAAATGCCACGGATCAATACTAGAGGCGATGGAGCCTGTACTGTTTGTACGTTTATGTTTGCCATGTTGCCGAGACCTATAATATTATTGTACACGTCACATCACATTCTACAATACATCTACAGGCTAACAAATGAAATTTAATACACATTATAGTAAGTCTATATTAGATATTCCAGGGTTACTGTTTGCAGAATTATCAATGTTCTCCTGTAGCCAAGCCTGAGTCTATAGACAAGTCGGAGCTCGTTATGAATAACGTACTTAATAATTGTCAAACTGAGACACCAGACTTTTAGTAGACATCTTCACAAAATAACAAAAAAGATTTTTAAAAAAGTTTCAAGGATCAGAACCAGTCAAAGAAGATTAACTAGTAGGTGTTTGATATGGATATTGAAAGATTGTTGAGTAAGAATTAAAATCCCAAGTGTCATAGAGTCCTAAAAGTCATGCTTGCGGAAAATATTTGGGTTACTCTCCATTGTGATATGAAGAATGAAATTGAGAATTTGGCTCCATGGCTGATGGGTAATTTCAGAAATTAAAATTCTTTCCGGGCAATTTTTTTCTCAATTTAAATTCAAGTGAACTGCGGCAACATTGAACTTTTAAGAGGGTTGAGTTGAGACATGCTAACAATCTACACGCAGTTCGCATAAGAGTGTAGCAAAATTAAGCCCAGCCAAGAAAAATATACATTTAATTATTTAAAAAATAGTTGAAAACCAATTGCGAAAATTTGCTAGGTGAAAGGCTTGAAATACGCATTTGCATGACGCCAGTTGAGCGTCAGGTCAAATATGATTTAATCAAGATTTAAATCGTTTAAAACCAAAAGATACAGACATGTTTTTTTTTTAATACATTCTGGCCCGTCGGTTTTATTTTCTTCAACGTCAAGAGTTCGGGTGGTCCACGGAGGGCAAAGTTTTTCCCAATCTAGTAGGTACAGATTCAGCACAGACGTAGTCTGCATCTCTACTGGTTTAATAATGCCAAATTGATATATTACTGTGGTACAATTTTCAAGCTTCTCATTTACTATTACTTTGTGAATATTTCATGTGCCGAACTGTTTAATATCCATTTCCACTTGATGTGAAAAATTGCTGTCGTTTGATATTCAATATTATAATGGAAAATCAATCAGGTAAACGAAGAAAATTAGTAGCCTGAGCGCAAAGCAGAACATAATTTGTTTTAAATGACCGGTGAAAAAGTAAATATCTATTCCAGATATATAAGTAGTAAGTAAGTAAATATTCTGAATAATATTCAAATTATAAAACTTGGTCAGTCGATCCTAAAAAAGTGTTTTGAATATTTAAAATAATTATTATAAATATTGTACCGTGGATACTCGGCCATCCACGGTACATTTGGTGCCAGAAGTGGGATTTACCAGAATCCAAGTTGAATTTTGATGGAAACAAGAAGTAAATCAAAGAAGGAAGACCCTGCAATGGAGAACCCCAGTTTGATTGCACTGTTCATGCAGATGACAGACGAAATGAGCGACAAAATGGACAAAATGGAAAACAATAGTAGGAAAATGATGGACGAAATGAGCGACAACAGTAGGAAAAGGACGAAAAAATTGACAGAATGAATGACAAAATGGAAGACAACAGTAGGAAAATGGACAAAATGAATGACAAATACAAAGAGATGCTGAATAAAATGGACGACAACGCTAAGAAATTTGAAGACCTGAAAACAACCGTTGAAGGCAAACTAAAGAACATCG